ACAACGACTCGCGGTGTCCTCCCGCTGTACTGAACCAGTGCTGCTTATTCTCCCGGATAAGTCTGAGACCTGTCTAGTACCAATTTACCGACTCCGAAGAGGTGGATAGTTTGGTGGACCATAAGTGCATTCAAATACCTAATTGAAGTTGAAAATTGAATACGAATGCATGGCGGATCTCTCAGGATTGATCAATGTCGAGAGCTTTATTCTTTACCTTCATGGAAGGTGGAAACAGAGCATTGAACGAAACGATCCGTCGTAAACGTCTATTGATATATCGACTATTAGCACAGTTTACGGTATGTTGAACGAGATCATAAAAGGTGTTAAAGTGAATTAAATTTCTCAATTTGATTATCTAGCACTTGTTTGTTTTTTTTTCATTCCAGGTCAATCACAACTCAACTCAATCCTTACTGACTACGTGGCAAAGAACCTGTCGGTTGCTAGCTTGCATTAGAAAACTAATTCAAAATATTGGACGAACATGTAAAATTGATCGGGGTCACATCATGAAGACCGATTTATCCTCGAGATAAGAGCAGTTCACAAGGCAAATTCTTTTATATCTGCTGTTACTTCGTGAAATTTAGTCTGTCATGCTACCGAAGCCGTCCACTAAAGAAGTCAAAAAAGCAGTCAAAACCAAAAGTCAGAAAGTCGGCCGCACTGCAGAGAAGAAGATAAAGCATCGTCGAAAGGAGACCTATGCGGTCTACATCTATCGCGTGCTCAAACAAGTGCATCCTGAAACTGGTGTATCGTCGAAAGCTATGTCCATAATGAATTCGTTCGTCAATGACGTGTTTGAACGTATTGTTGCTGAAGCAGCACGTTTGGCTCAATACAACAAACGTTCGACAATCACAGCCCGTGAAATCCAGACGGCCGTAAGACTAATCCTGCCCGGAGAGCTTGCGAAGCACGCAGGGTCGGAAGGAACTAAAGCTGTTACCAAATACACCTCTAGCAAGTAGGTCTCTCATGTGCATTCACTTAACCCAACTACTATCTTTAGGACCACGCTTGATTTTATGTGTTTGTGTTTGCACGACTTGTATGATTTCATATGCTAGTAATTTGTTTCATCGATTAAATTCTTGTGTTTCGCTTGATTTTCCCTTTTCCAATAATCAGAAATTGAACACAGCAATAGTAGGAACACTTAGATTCGGATGGTTTCAAATAATGGAGCAGCGGTTGCTTTGTACTGGGATACAGGAGAAGCTAGCAGCCAAACGTTCATGCCATTGATTCCTATGTAAACAAGAAATTATATGTCAGCCTTTTTTTACGAAAGTTTTAGATGACAATATCGGTGATTCTGAATACTGATTTGCAACCGTAAGTGAAGAGTTATGAATTTGAGGCTAAATAAATGTTTCCAAACACCGTCCTTATTTCGACTGTTTTTTCGAAACCTCTGCGCTAGGACTTCCGTACGTTTCGTTTCGTTATACTCGCCTCGTCACAGCCACTCACCCACTTTGGATACATCCAGGAATTCTTGTGGTTTCACCGCTTATTTCGCAGTGTTATTATGTTTCAAGTATCACCTAAGAGAATTAAGTGGTAGGCAGAAATTCAATCTCATACAGTAGTTTAACAGCGTTTCACCCATACTAGGGTGGCTGACAGCTGTATAGAGAGATCTCGAAGAATGAGTGATGGATAAGCAGTGGCGTCGATGGTGTAGTGGTAGCATGCGCCTCCGGTATGAGTAAATGACAGGTTCAACTCCCCGTCTGAAATCGAGTTTTTGCCTCCACTCAATTTTTTTAGGCATACTCACCACACTGTAATCAAATCCAAAGCTGTAGATCAAATCGGTGGCCAACTGCTATGTTTATATCCGCTAAAATCTAGACACTCTTTGTGATGTTTCTACCTTAACTACACATGCAATACTAAATAGTAATCGTTTCTGCTCACACCCTCCTTTCAAAATCGGTTTTCGATGAGCTGTTCAAGAAAATACATAGGGCGGTTGAAGAAACCCAATCATTCACTGAAATGAGGGCGATCAATGTACAAGTCATGCGACGATTCAGTCCAGGTCACCTGCTTATTGATCGAGTAGGGCTAGATGGGTGAAGCATGTGAGTTTCCTTAGTAAATGATTCGTATCTCAGTTACTTATCTTTCCGTACATTTTAATACCTCGGTGTCAAGACCGTTCCATGTGAACTTCGCTGCGGGTCCTCATATCTTCCTGGGAATGACTCTAGAACACATCAATAGCGCCAAGTTCTCCACAAAGAGCTGCGTTCAAATTCGAGCGGGAAACAGCGGGGTCGGCATGCCGCGACCGAGGAGTCGACACCTTCCCTTCGCTCATCAGGGTCAGGTCACTGGGATAGTTCCCATTGGAGATTGCAAGATGTGCACAGGTAGAACTGGGATGAGCATCTCTGCAGAAAACACTGTTTGGAATACCATGCTATGAAAAAGAGAGAGGAATGAAACATGAAAGAACCACGTTCATAAGGTTTATACGATTGATTTCGAGATTTAAAGATTATCACCCGTTTGTATTTTATAGAAGTTAATGAAATCTTGACATTCTTCCAAAATTACGGACCTATAAAGCATACTACTATTTTGAACACTGATGCCTATACATGGCGGAACAAGTAATCTGGAAGTACTCAGATTCGTCGGAACGTGGGCCTATTGTCACTTCACCGTGACGATTACTCTTATTACAACAAAAACTCTAATAAGAATGAGAATAAATCCCCGCCTTTTAACGCTCTATCGACGACTAATCAATTTTAATTTTCGTCCGCACACTGAATTTATCCGGCTAACTTCTAAAACAATTGACCTTAACAGTAAATCAACGAAGGCTGAAACATCATAACAAGTGGAAACCATCATCTTTATTACAAATCATTCTCACATAAGATAGTTACGTTTTTGAAAGCCGGTATGTGGCCCTAAAGAGGGCCGTTGGGTCAATTTTTAGTAGAGTGCTCGAATCTTACTCCTTCTCTCCACCGGTCTTTTTGGGGAGTAGTACAGCCTGGATGTTGGGCAGAACTCCGCCTTGAGCGATGGTCACTCCTGACAGCAGTTTGTTGAGCTCCTCGTCATTACGTACGGCAAGCTGGAGATGGCGTGGGTTGATTCTGGTCTTCTTGTTGTCACGAGCAGCATTACCAGCTAACTCCAACACTTCAGCGGCCAGATATTCGAGAACGGCTGCCAGATAGACGGAGCTCCACCACCAACTCTGCTGGCGTAGTTGCCTTTGCGGAGCATTCGATGAATTCGTCCGACAGGAAACTGGAGACCGGCGCGAGACGATCTTGACTTTGCCTTGCCTCCGGTCTTGGCTTTGCCTCCTTTGCCACGTCCAGACATCACGGCAGTTACGAGCGACAAATGTCGATATGAACACACGGATGCATTTGCGCCCACTCGGGCGATATTTATAGGCAACCTGCTTCCACGCCCCGCCTCCATTGACCAGCACCTGGTCGCTGGAGGCGGGGCTTCTTCGCGGCAGCCTTATAAATTCGTTTGAAGGGAGCCGTTCCACATTCGCAGTTTCTACGAGTGCTTGCTATGCCGCCGAAACCGTCCGCCAAAGGAGCCAAGAAGGCCGCCAAGAGTCAGAAGGCCAGTCGTGCTGGAGACAAGAAGAAGAAGCATCGCCGAAAGGAGAGCTATTCGGTCTACATCTATCGTGTGCTGAAGCAGGTCCATCCCGATACTGGCGTGTCCTCTAAAGCGATGTCGATCATGAACTCGTTCGTGAACGACGTTTTTGAACGCATTGCTGCCGAGGCATCGCGTCTAGCACACTACAACAAGCGGTCGACGATCTCGTCTCGCGAAATCCAGACGGCCGTCAGACTGATTCTACCCGGAGAGCTCGCGAAGCATGCTGTGTCGGAAGGAACCAAGGCGGTGACCAAGTACACCTCCAGCAAATAAATCGCGCACGAATGTGCACTTAATTAACCCAACGGCCCTCTTTAGGGCCACAAATGGAACCAAATACTTGTGTGTGGTTTTCATGCCGAGTCAATAAAGTGTTTCTATTCTTGTTTTTTCATATTGTTCTAGTAGTGGTTACTTGGTCATTATTATTCCTGAAAGTTACTTCTACTTACTCAAGGGACTAGGGTGTAACAGTTATCTAATGAGTAGAAACTGAAGTCGCCAAGTACTTTTAGAAGAGGGCAGGTAGTTAGTATGTCTCGAAATGGAGTGAATTATTCAAAAAAGAACTGTAGATCATGCACGTCCTGTTTCATAGTGCCCTCCTACTGAATGCCTTACCACTTCGAGTCGCGAACGTGACCTCCCGCATCGACCACCACCTGGGACAATTGATCGCGACGACCCCGAGTTTGGCGCGGTGCCAGTGGCGTCGATAGCGAAGATCATGCGCGGTACAGTGAGCTATGCAAGCCATCAAAGTTCCGGTATTTGTGCTTATATGGGTTCAAGACGTGAGTGGTATTATTCTGAGCTACGAACGACTGAGGTGGGATTACGAATGGTCCGTACAACCAACCGATAGATCACTTGAAAGGCAGTAATTATCTAAGATTGAGGTCTCAAAAACGAAAAGGTATCTAATGATTGGGAGAGACAAATTCAGACTTAGATGGAAATATCTTATCTGGTCGTAATAGCGTCTGAATACACGAAGAAAAGACGAGAAGAATCTGCAACTTTCCACAGAAATCGATTGGCCTTCGTTTGACTCTCGGCTAGTGTTTATTTTGTAGAAGTGACGTCATCGAGATGGCGAAATTGTTGGGACTTTCGGCGAATAACTGTCACTCGTTATTTTTTTTTTATTACTATTTCCCTAAGAAGGAGCGAGAGTTTCCATGAATATTTCGACCAATCGGTGTGATTTTTCGAGATTTCACTACGATGACTTACTCTGGCGATATCTATGGCGAACTTGCTATGCTCCCTCTTAGTCAACAAAATCGAAATCATCACCAAATAATGTTGAGTGATGTGCAAAACTTTGACGTCGTGCGGTACTCGAACCCACATTTCACCCTTTCGGAGGGCGCGTGCTCTAACCATTTGCACTAGCGACGCCTGTTTTTTCCACCACTCTTCAGTTAAAGTGAATTTGAGATATAATCACAAAACTGCCTAGATACGAGCGATATCTGAAGAATGAGATGCCTTCGAATTCCGCAAAAAGTAAGACAAAAAATTGTCACAAAAATATTGGTGATTGGACGAATAAAATGTCGGAAAAAGTGGTATAGAAATTTTTATTCTATCAATTAGAGAGTACATTTTCTCAGCGAGACGCTATCGAATCCAAATGTTGATACTGTAGTATCCACGAGTTTGCTGAAGATCTGAAGTTGTCTTCCAGCACAAGTAGTCCATTTACAGTACTCTTCCGATCTACAATGAAGATAGAATTGGTTATTGATCGTTATGACTTCAGTGCAGTTCACAACTAGTGATCGACTTGATTTCTGTGAAAAGGAAAAGAATAGATCACGAACTAATCCTTATTTGAAGCTTCACGAAATTGCTATCTTCTATGTTTTTCTTTCCGATCGATGGATTCTGTTGATTTTTGTGGCTGACGTTTCGGCAAAACGCCTTCTTCAGAGCCGTTTACTTGAGTCTAGGGAGAGTTCGAAGGCTCTGAAGCAGGCGTATCTGTCGAAACGTCAGCCATAAACTATCAACAAAATCCATCGATCGCCAAGAAGAACAATCGATCGGAAAGAAGAAAAAAAAGATACCACCTTGTGAATTCGAATAAGATTAGTTCTTCAGGTGTTTCTTCATATATAACATAAGAGAATTGAATGATGAGCAAAAATACGACCTCCTACGGGAGTCGAACCTGCGTCCATCCATAAAGAGTGGTGGCGCATGACGTAGGTGTAGTGCTAGCACGCATCTACGGTAAGGATGAAACACGAGTTACGACTCCTGTCTGAGGTCGTATTTTTGCTCACCACTTAATTCTCTTAGGTTTATATGAAACATCATAACACTGCGAAAATTTAGCAGTGAAAACACTAGATTTCACGAGTTATTCTTTCTTTCTCACAGTTTTATATTATTAGCATGCAGAGGTTCAAGGAAAGCGGTCTTTCGACTTGATTTCTACTGACTACTATTGGTTATTTGTCGACAGACCGATATTTTACAAGCTCTAACTGTGAAAACTATTGAGATCTAACTATAAATGATATTAACTTGTCCTCCTTCGAAGTAGACTTAATCCTTATTTGTTGAAGATGAGATTGAATCAAATCAAAGTAGTAACCACAAGGAGCCTATCATTCGAATAGACCAATATTCAACTGAGATAAGAGCGCAGAATGTTTTTGACTGATCAGATTTGTATGCATTATCGAAGAATGAGAGAAAAAAGAAGTTTCTCATCAGTAACAGACTCATAATACTCTTTGATTAACAATGCCTTAAAAGAGCAAAATGAACAGCGAAGGGACCTCGTGAAGAGAAGCTACGAAATAATAAAGACATCTTGCTGAATGAACTGAAAAAATGAAACAGTGAAGAGGTCACTGAGCGAAAAAAATATCGTAGATGTCCAATAATGAAATATTTTGCTACTTCCTAAAGTGGATATGGAGTTTTCGAGTAGAAATGACAGAAAATCACCAAAACAATGTTCGGTGCCCCACACTTTTTCAGCAGCTTCAGTGCGACTGACATCGCAGTGTTCTCTTTCACTGCGTACGATGTCATCGAAACGAATTAAGCACCGCCCCCTCTAGAAGGGGCATATAAACGGACGATAGGCGAGCGAGTCACACTTCATTCAGCAATGGCTCGTACCAAGCAGACCGCTCGCAGGTCGACCGGAGGAAAGGCTCCTCGCAAGCAGTTGGCCACCAAGGCCGCTCGCAAGTCCGCACCGGCTACTGGTGGTGTGAAGAAGCCCCACCGCTACCGTCCTGGAACCGTCGCCCTTCGTGAGATCCGGCGCTACCAAAAATCGACAGAACTGCTCATTCGCAAGTTGCCGTTCCAGCGTCTGGTTCGTGAGATCGCACAGGACTTCAAGACCGACCTGCGCTTCCAGTCGTCGGCCGTTATGGCCCTCCAGGAAGCCGCTGAGGCATACCTAGTTGGTCTCTTCGAGGACACCAATCTGTGTGCTATTCACGCCAAGCGAGTTACCATCATGCCGAAGGACATCCAGTTGGCACGTCGCATTCGTGGAGAGAGAGCCTAATCGCCAGGACTCAAAACAAATTCAACCCAACGGCCCTCCTTAGGGCCACATATTAACTCTTGAAAACATAGATTCAGTAAACGAAACCATAAATAGCTTGCAATGAATAAACGATTTTCCTACGTGTGCTGTCATCTTACTTTTCAGCCATTTATATAATATGTTCGAATAAAAAGCGGTGAAATAGATTTCAAAAGAGGTGTGAACCACTTTCAAATAATATTTCCAATAATTCCGTTATAGTGCAATGTAAAATAGTGAATAGTTGAGAACATACCAGTGACACTCCGGAATAGGTGCTTTCAAATATTTGGATATCTTCGATGCTACATATATAAGGAAGGCCTATGTGTAGGATTCCGTTTCTCCAAGAATTCTACTCCTGAGAGCTAGCTAAAATACGATCTACACAGAGTACTGGTCGTGTATTTGTATCGTTAAGAACTGTGAAATTTGAGGAACACTCGACTTTTTGACGGATGAAGAAGTTAATGTGAATATTTGAAAGAGTGTAAGGATCTCACAGTGAAAAAGGAGAACGTGGTATTGTGAACTGGACGTTAATGAAAGTTTTTCCTTTGTACAAAATCCTGAGAAAAAAGATATTTTTTTTTTTGGAAATTCCACAACTCGCACAATGTAGCGCAGTCTCTCAATGAAAATAACGAAAAACGACTTTCTGCGAAAAATCCTCCAAGTTTGGTTACATACAGTATATACAGCATGATGTTAAGCGGTTGAAGTCAAATATGCAAGGGGAAAGCTCTGAACAATCGAGAGTCATAGAGATTGTACTAGCAAACGCGTAACAACAACGGCTGACCTTCCGGATATCGATTGGGGTCGCAGCGTGCGTACCCCAGTGGTGGCTGTATAAACAACGTTCTGGAGAACGACCTCATTTCATTTGCTGTCGTAGCTGTCTTGCAGTTGTCGTTATGTCTGGTCGTGGAAAAGGAGGCAAAGGACTTGGCAAAGGAGGAGCTAAACGCCATCGTAAGGTGCTCCGCGATAACATCCAAGGAATCACCAAGCCGGCAATTCGTCGTCTCGCTCGTCGTGGTGGTGTGAAGCGCATCTCAGGACTGATCTATGAGGAAACTCGTGGTGTCCTCAAGGTCTTCCTCGAGAACGTCATCAGAGACGCTGTCACCTATTGTGAACACGCGAAGAGAAAGACTGTGACGGCCATGGACGTGGTCTACGCTCTGAAACGCCAAGGACGCACGTTGTACGGTTTCGGTGGATAAGAACACTGCCATATTCATTCATTTTAACCTAACGGCCCTCTTTAGGGCCACATTTCATGAAGATTTACTTGTGTCATTTCATTTCTCGTGAAATAAACGTTCTCTGTATCCGAGTTTGTTGGGTCAAGTAGGTTTTTTGGTCGATGGTTGAGTCGATATAAAAGTAACGGGTCGGAAATGTTCATGTTTAAGATGTTAGACAAGTACCATAGATAGTCCTTGACAACGTAGCAGTCGCATATCGAGAGTTCTTCCCTGTAGGCGTTTTTTTATTTATATTTTCGCTTGTAGAATTTGAGATAATGTGGTAGTCGCAATGCAACCTTTGCATCAATTTACTGAGATCAGAGCTTTACAAGACACGTTTCGCTCATTTTCTGACTGAGATGTTGAGGATTTTGGCAATCTGTTGTGGGTAGTGATTGGCCATTTCGTATGAGCTGCGACCTGTGCTGCTCACACTGACACCAGAAGCATCCATCTGACCCGACCTTGAGCGCCAGCAATTCGTCCGAGTCAGCTGCCAAAAGCGCTGTGCCTTCGGACCGCGTCCAAAATTCAAATGCGCAAATGCGTGGTCGTCTACCTTTATGACGTAGCAGATGCTTTCTATGACGGAATACTCTAGGGATTAGGTAAAAAATTGTAATTGAAAGTACATTAGAAGCGTTTTTATACGTCTCGAAGTGCCTCATTGATGTGAAAAATGTCAATGGTTGAATTGAATTTAGATGATTTCAATGCATTTAAAGAGTGGAAAATTAAGAAGAAAAGATTGGGTGTGACATGATAACAAACAAATAGCATAGGTACAAACTATATGTATCCCATAAGATTCATTGAAGCGTAAAACTTTGAACCGCGGGCACGAGCCGAACCCTTGTGTCACTTCTTACGTGTGGTCATGCTAACCACTCCGTAGTTGGTACTCTGGTCTTGATATCACTCTTTCTGTGATACAATATCACACCACTGTCAAAAAAGTGGTTGAATAAAGATTTTCTGGCGAACTGTACTTGACTTAACCCCATCTCCAACAACCAAACATCGTGTTTACTTCGAAGGGGGACAAGTTTGACTCATAGATAGAGAACGGCCAAAAAAAAAAACGGGTCCACAGAAGAGTAGGTAGTTTTCACATCTGCCGATGAAGTGAAGCCTACTTCGAAACGTTAAAGCCCGTTTCGGATGAATGTAGGATCAACGTAGGGACATGACGAAGCTTCCTAAGTCATTGATCGTAGATTCCGGAGTGGTATCGCCAAATATTGAATCACTTACAAAGTTACCCCTCCGTTGGTTCGCACGGCCCATTCGCGATCATTTGAAATTGAATATACCACTTCCTTTCTGAATCCATTCAAGCCCAAATGCCCTAACTTTGGTGGGTTAGACATCATACCGCAACCAACACCCTGCTATCCCGTTGTTGGCTCCGCGCCAAAATTCAAACACGCACGATCCCCTTGGCGTCGTAGAGGTCAGCGCGCGTCGCGTTGACCTTTCCTTCCCGTCGACTCCCCCACGCCGGCGCTAATGACTCCGCTGTTTACCGCTCAAATTTGAACGCAGCTCCTTGTGGGAAACTCAGCGCAATTAGGGTGTTCTGAA